TACAGAACTTTTAATCTTTGTACTAAGAAGCACTTGCTCACATTAAAAAATAAAAGGAGCTGTTTTTCCTTAGGAACACGTGCTCTATTAGTGATCTCCTCTCTCATTCTTAAATTGAGGCCTGAAGCACCTATGGGTCAAGTGTAACAGGCAAGCAGAAGAAACTTTCCAGATGCTTTTTATACAAAGGAAACATCCAATCATCACTGTTTATGTTGAAAGTGATTTTTTTTTCAAACCCTAAGGGGCAAGATAACATTTCCTCTGTAGGAGTGTGAAATACTTGAGAGAATGGAGAGACAGCAGCTGAGTATTTTTCAACTAGTACCACTGTATCAAAAAGTATTTCATGTAAGCAAAGTCATAATGAGGACCACCCAATGCTGCACTTGGCTATCAGATCAAGGATGGCAGAAAATTAGAAATGACTGATTAAACCACGCTAGGTAAGGTATTTCCCAGTAAAGTACGACAAATGAAAAATTACTGAGCACAAAGACAGTAACAAGAGTGTTTAGGGCTTTGAAAAACGTTCAAGAGAAGTGAAATCATTGATAGAGAAAATGCTTTAACAAAGACAAAACATTTTAAATGAGGGCATGTAGCACTTATTTATGCAAAAGCATGAAAACAGGGATGATGCTGGCAGTAAAACAGGAATAGCTGAGGTTATTCTTTGTGTAGTAATAAAAGACAATTTTTAAACAAGAGAATCCTTCATTAAAGGATTATTTGAGTAAACTTAACAGTCCTTATAGGGAATTTGTGAGAATGACATCTTAAGAATGTAATCGTGCAATAAATGACAACAAGTGAAAAAAGTTTTTTTTATTTCTCAGTGTTTCTCCACTGTCAATACTGTCCTTTTGCTGCAACACGTTGCAAAAAAACTCTCTGCCTTTTCCATTTTAAACAGCTACAATATTTACAGGCTGTTTCCAGTAACACACGCAGACACATACACGCTCACAGACACTCAGGTACATATATCCCTATCCCTGGCAAGGTAACTGTTTGCTGGTAGAGGCAATATATATTTTCATTGTCCATTAAAAACCAAAGCCATCCTCTCATTTATGCTCTACTCCCCTCTCCATTTCCTAACCAGCAGCTATTGTCAAGCTTTCAGGGGCATCTGTGTAAGAAGTTACATATCCAGCTATTTGATTGCCATCTTTCAAAGTTGTGGCCTAAGTGTACTGGGCTTATCTATTCAAACTGTACATACCAGAAGTCATAAAAATTGCTCAAATTCAAATGTTCATGACCAAGTGATGTAGGTATACTCCCAAAATCTTTTGGGGCAGCCATCTTAATCACCTTTTTAGAAATATGCTTATCATGCTGGGGTGAAACAAGTCACATGCTTTACCTTCCACCAAGGTGTTATGTACCCACTTTTTTACTAAGGCACCAGGAATTACCTGTACAATTTCTGAAAGAGTCCAGCGCCACTGAATGTACTGCATTAGAATGTCAAACAGTAAGCCAGACAAGAAAAAAATAGATGCCTATATAATAGGTATAAAATTCCTTAATAAAATTAAGTACATAAAACCTGTGGTGGTGCAACCCCAAATCCAATATAAGTTGAATAGTATTGTTAATGGTAAAAAACACAATCTATCCAGCTCCATTTTGTGAATGGAGATCTGTAATTGAGAAAGGTCTTTAAAGTGGTGTCTTTGTTATCCACTCTTCTAGGTCGTATGGTGGTGTGTGCATTATCAGAGAAAGCTGAATCAATCATAAGGCATCTCCCCTCTTGCCCAAATCCAGACAAAGTTTTATGGTCTCTTGCCAAAGGGCCAAAGGCATGGACCTATGCCACAAGTCTTCATCTGTCATCTCACCAGTCATCCAGGCTTCTCAGAGAGTTCTTCAGTTCCCAAAGGCATTGAGGCCATGGGATGAGAAATGACTGCTGATAACTGCGCTCTTGACCAGAAAACTGACATCATCACTCAGAAACATGCCCAGATGTCCCAGGCAAAGTGGCTGTAGGACCATTCAGCATACATGGAATTACCTCAAGAAATAAACATCACCATCATCTTCCCCAAACTCTGAAACTATTTCACACATACTGGACCATGAGAGAGATCCCCAGAATCCAGCACTAGTATCATCCACTGCAAGTAGCACAGAAGTCTGGCTGTCATCACTGTCAAAGACAGTTTCAGGTTTTTGGTTTTTTTAATCAGATTTTAATTTTAGAAATCTGAGAGAAAGCAAATAGATTGGGATCTACCTGGAAGCTACAACAGTAGGGCTTAACTGGAATGTTCTTATGGAAAGAGACTATCATAATGCAAGGGGACAGAGGAAAAGCAAACATCTGTAAGGGTTTTCATAAAAGTCTAGAAAGACCTAAAAAATTCTGCTATATGGTAAGGTTCAATTTGGACTGACAGGACTAACTTGAAAATACCCATCTCCATCCTTACAACAGAAGAAAAATAGTACACATCAAGACAAAGGCCAAGAAAAAAAACCCAAAAGATGAAATAATTTCCACCTAGAACAGAGGTTTCCACAGACAGGTCTACCCTGTGGGGAGGTGTGCCCACATGGCCAAGACGACCAATGGCATCCTGGGCCGTGTGGCCAGCAGGACCAGGGCAGTGATTGTCCCCCTGTACTCAGCACTGGTGAGGTCACACCTGGAGTGCTGTGTCCTGTTCTGGGCCCCCCAATTTAGGAAGGACACCGAGATGCTCAAATGAATCCAGACAAGGGCAACGAGGCTGGTGAAGGGTAAATCCTGTGAGGAGGCTGGGGGAGCTGGGGTTGTGCAGCCTGGAGAAGAGGAGGTTCGGGGGAAACCTTATCACTCTCCACAACTCCCTGAAAGGAGGGTGTAGCCAGGTGGGGATTGGTCCCTTCTCCCAGGTAACCAGTGACACAGTCTTAAGCTGTGCCAGGAAAATTTAGGCTGGACATCAGGAAGAAATTCTTCACAGAAAGAGTGATTGGGCATTGGAATGGGCTGCCCAGGGAGGTGGTGGAGTCACCATCCCTGGAGGTACTTAAGAAAAGACTGGATGTAGCACTTCGTACCATGGTCTCGTAGTTGACAAGGTGCTGTTCAGTCACACATTGGACTCTAGGATCTGAAGGGTCTTCTTCAACCTAGCTAATTCTGTGTGATTCTGAGTTAGAAGAAAATACACATTTTTGTAACTTGCACACTGGAAACCAAAGAAACTCTGTACAAACCAACATACAATCATATGAATCTTAATGAGTTCGGGGAAAAACTAAAGAGTTAATTTTCCAAAGCCTTATGGAAGACTGAGATTTCAACTAGGTGGCTTCTGTTGAGCAGATCTGGAACAGGTACGAACACTATGCGAACGGCTTCACAACAGATGTTAGCCGAGTACCTGAAAGGAAGTGTTAACCTGTTAGCTGTCACACTAAAATCTATCTCCTGAAAGCAGCACACCAAAAGCCTTATGTTTTATAAAAAAATAGAAATATTAATAAATTCTCTTTGCCCTTAAACAAAGTCTCTATTTCCCTATCTGCTGTTTGCCAATCTAATTCCAGGCAGATACACATATGCACTAAAATTTCCACATTAACAAGCCATTAATTCCTGTCACATCTTTTACCAGCAATGGACATTGTCCTTACCTTGCCCCAAAGAGAGTGAGAGATGACGATTAACATACTGAAAGTTGTTTCAGTCAGCTTAAAAAAAACAACAAAGCAAAAAGCCTAAACTATATATTTTGGTTTTCAGTCATTTGTTTACCTCAAGGCTTCAGTCCAAGGAAAAAAACAACCCTGTGCAATTAATGTCAAGTAGGGGCTTATTTTCAAACAAACTTCTCCCTTTTAAATGAAGCAATGTTCCTAATGACACAGAAAACCTGGAAGGTTAATTAATTAAAGCAGTATTTACCTGAAGGGAAGGACACAGAATAAAACCTTAACTAAAAGGCCTTCAATTCAAGACTTACACATTTTCTTCATTCCTGATAGCAGTGTTACCAGACCGCTACAGAAGTTTCATCTACTGTACCACATTTTCACATATGCAGGAGATTAATTCAACCGTTCCATAATGTGATACACATGATAAATAATTTTGCTGCTCCACTTAGTTTCAAGGCTGGCAGATCTGCGCATTTATACCATGATTAAATGGGACTGTGTATGAATAAAGTGAATGGTAATATGCAACTTTTAGATGCACAGCATTTCAAGGACAAGTTTGCATAGTCTATGATGCAAGCAATGTCCCAGTATCCTTCACTGGGAACAGTAACTGGGATGGAGTTGCTACCAGGCACACAGACTTACCCTTTCATGGCTAGATGGCATATAGTGATGAGCTGGAATACCAGTGTTTCTTAGGTAGCTGTTTCCTCCTTTTTTTCTTATCCCATGTAATTTCACTCTCACATTAGGTACATAATGGACAATGTTTCTCTGATGTCAGAGAATTAATTATAATAACCTCTGTGGTATATCAGAAGTCTCTTCTAGTTACAACACATATAAAGAAAGTGGAGGTGACTGGGAAGAAGATGGCTGCTCCCAAAAGCTAGAACTGTAGGCAAATTCCCCACAGAGTCCTATATAATTACAAGTCAGAAACAGGAAACAATCACAACAGGTACATTTCTTTCTTACGGATTAAGAGAAGTGAGTCATAGGAACGCCAAGTCAAGAACAAACCAGTTTCCCTCTCACACTCCCATGATAGTTCTGAGTTACTTGTTTCCCTGAATACACACTTTTAAAAAAATACAATAAAACCTAGGATATGTAACACATGAATAATTCAACTTCACAGTTATAAATACTCAAATTACACTTACATAGAATATATAATCACAGAAAATAAAATTCAAGTCATAGAAAAGAATGAAGACTAAAGGGAAAGAAAAGGCAAGGTGGTAAAAGTGATACAAGTTTAGGGCTGTGCCTTCTATAAAAGATCATTAAAAGCAGAAGTCAAGTTTTGTTGGGCTCTTTTTTCATTTTGATTGGGGAGTTGTTGCTGTTTTTTCTTTTTAAATTGGATAGAATAAAAAACAACCTTCAAGCATCCGTGAAGTAATCATGGACCTGCACCTCCCACTACAACACTAAAACCACCGTGTTTGCGAGAGAAGAGCCAATGAAACAACACAGCCAGCTCTGAGTGTAAAGAAGCAAAGAGCGCATGGCTAGTGAAGGGAAGACAGATGGAAAGTCACATCGAGGCCCACTTTAAAGCTAGACGTGTTGTACAGGCTTGAGGTACCACTGCCACCACAGTAAAGTCTGATGTAGTACAGGGATACTCAGGTGCTTTTCTACACATTTGTTATTTTACCATTTATTGTGAAGAGGATGCAGCAAATGCACTTGTACGAAATACAGAACATAGAACCAAACCCATGGCACAGCCCTTACCATCAACATGTATATGGAGAGGGAGGGGATTAATCCCAAAGGCAATTTAAATAATGGTATTTTATATACTTATATTTATATATATAAATAAATGTTCTCAGCAATCTCAGGGTTGTTTTTAGTGCATTGCTGTAAAAAAATTAGTGCAGTTCTCATTAATGTTTAGCTCATAAGGAATAAGAATCTATACATCTGTTCAGTCTCTTCTTGCCACACCTGAAACCCTTACACTGTTTCACCAAACTGAAGGTTTGTAGTCAATGTCATTAAAATAAGGTGGATGAATTCCACGCACTCTGTGACAAGACATGGCAATTTTTGGCAAAACAATTAGAAAAATATGAGGTGCTCTGATCTTAGAACTGAAAAGTTTGTTGATTTAAAGCATTACGCAATGCATAACAAAATTTATAAACAAAAGATATGTCTCAACAAATCTATCCTTCATGCAAGTGTTTCTTCAGCAGCTAACAACTTAAAAAAATCTCTTACACTTGTTTATTTGGGGAAAGGGACTTAGACAAATCTGTGTTTCAAGTCCTTTCCTACAACCGGACCAAAGTTTTGTGTCCTGGGAGCTGCTTCTTCTGGACCCTTCTCTCTTCTGAACCATTGGAGAAGGGGAAGTTTCAGTCTAAAGAGATTTATACTTCAGCCCCAAGTTCAAGGACTCCAGTTTCAACAACAGCAACATATTTATCTTCAATTTGAACCAGCAGGATGGTTTTATCTATATGTGACCGACTACTTGGATCTCTGCTGCAAGGCACCCAGCGGTGAATCACCTGGGGGGGAAAAGAAAAAACCAAAGTATAATAAATGTAAGCTCCAGGGGGAGAGCTGTCATATCAAAGTTATGGCTGATAACTCAAGACCCTTACAGGGCCAAATAAGCAAAAATACAGGTGCTATACTGACTTAGTTGCCCATTTTTCAATGACAGCATACCCACAGATCAGCTGCACATTGAAGTCTTCCTAAAGATCTGCAGCTTAAAATTACATTTAGGTCTTTTACAACCATAAGAGCAGCCAGTCTGATTTAGATTTGTGTAGGAACAAACAACTTTACCCAAATTAGAATCAAACAGTTCATCCAAAGTGAGCAGCAACTGAAAAAAGTACACACAGATTTGGGATGTTTTGATGCTCTATTTGTAATAATCTTAAAATACCTCAGTGATGTGCAGCAAAGAACTGCTGTTTACCGGGAGTCACGTGTAAACTACTTGTCTCTTGCAAGTTAAAGCTCTTGCCCTGATTTTGTCACCTATGCACTGTGAATTCAACATTGATCTTCTAAATCAAGTTATTCAAAGATAATTTTAAATTAAAAACATTACAAAGAAGAAGGGGTTCAGAAACAGTGCTACAAACTATTGTACCAAACTCCCTTGTATCTACAGAATTCAAGTAGTTTGATCTGCTAGTTCCAAGGATCCTGCCTGATATTGACTGCCAGAAGGTCCCTTTTTAATACCTTGTATGTCTCTACTCATCTGTCCCCTTAAAAACACACCCTTAACTTCTGGGTGCCCCAAAGGAACCGTAAGGATGCCTCATTAACATGGGTATAAGTACCATCAGTTTCACAGAAATCAAATTATCTTAAGTTTTCCAATTGTGGTAAAAGAACCCTTAATTCAAGACAAAGTAAGTAAAACTAATTTTTACAAATTCCACAGCAGTGAAGTTTTCAGGAAGGGAAAAAAAGGGAAAAAAATGTCAGAAAGCCACAATCTTCCAAAATAAAATCCAAGAGATTCACTTAATCTTCATTATATACAGCTGGCTATTTCTCTTAACATGGGGTGAAGGACATTTAGCTTTGTCCACTGCATGAGATCTATGCTGCATAGATACAGGGAAAGCATTTCAGCCAGGGAAGCATAGCATCTTTAGTTCCTCTTTGATGCAACAGTGTGATACATAAGTGTCTGTTCAAATCTGATTTCAAAGTGTGTCCATATAATTTTTACACTGCTTTATGGAATGAGACCAGGAATATCTTGTCCCCAGACACAATAAAACATTTTCCAATGAAGTCCCAAGTACAACACCCTTGCTGTCCAATTTAACACTGGTGCCTTTGAGATAGCTACAGGTGTCAATATCATGGCTTCTTGAAAACTGTGTATATGCAAAGAGTTGTACACAGATTAAAACTCATCACTGCCATATTGCCACAGTCCATTTTACCATCTCTTCTATCATGACTGGCATTTATTTGGTACATGCAAAATGATGTCATTAGGTAATCAGGAGGTGGTAAGAATCTCTTGGAGGAAAAGGCTTCTTCTACACCCCAGTATCATGCATCATAGACAGATAATGCTGGGCATACCATCTCAAAACCGGGAAAAAGTAGTTACATTCCAAAGAGAACTACTAAATATAATTTCCTTGAAGAAACCTTATAATGTCTTTCTGCCTTATATACACATTGCACTGCATACTTAGCAAGATAAAAAGCTAAGTTAGGAAAAAATATTTTTTTCTATGTAGCAGCAAAGTTTTAAACTACTGAGTGCTGAACTTCATACTGAGAGCAGACATAAGGTAAACTGCTTAATGAGCAGCAACTCAGCAGGTGAGAATAATTTCTGCCTATTTGCAGAAAGGACCACAGGCACAGGATCACAGAGGGAAAACTGTCCTAAGAGCTTTATTGATACTAGTATGTTTAACCACAGGCAGCTGAAGCAGGCAGTTGAAACTATGCCATCAAGTTAAATCCTTTCCTCCTAATCACACACAGGATAATCTGGTGCTTTCCCCCCTTTCTCGTTATGTTACAAGATGCTCTTCTAAAAAAAACTGCCGATATGTTGTACCAAAAATAGATGAGAAACATTCAGAACAACAGCTTATTCTGACCTTTGAATCCTCTTGTTTTAATCTTTCTATAGCATCAATCACTGTACATGTCAGCATGCTGCAATTCAGAAAACACTCACTAAAGCCTGAAAAAAATTGTCCAGTGATACCAGGGAAGAGGACATGTTTCGACATAACCCTTTACATTCACCATCTTTACCACATTCTTGATCTGCAACAGTATGTCTAAACCAAACATAACTGGGAACATTTACAACAGTATTCTACTCACAGGTGTTACCCACAACATAACCCTACTGTTCTAATCAACCCTAGTAGATTCCTTCCATGAATAATTGTGTTTCCAGGACCTTTTCTTCATGTAGATGCAACAGCAAGGTAGATACAGCATACACTGTGTTACTGGCATATCTCTACTCCTTACCTGAAGCTGGCACATATATCCACAGTGAAGTGGACTTTCAAATGGCAAAATCTATCCCTAATAGCAATTTATAAATAATGCCTCCAAATGAGTTAAGCAAAGAAATTTCTTCCAAAATGATCTATTTCAAATTAAAATACAGTTGTATTGATGAACAAATGCAGACACAGTGTCAGTGACTCTTCCCTCTATCACTGAAAGAATACTGGAGCACCTTTACAGACATAAAGATCTTAAAAAAAAAAAAAAAAAAAAAAAAAAAAAGGGTACGTCTCAGTAAAAATCTAAAAGCTTCAAAGACCACACTGGGTTTCTTACTCTTAAAAGGAGCCTAAATTGGGAGATAAGTTTTATAGCCAATGAAGTGAATGTTTGTAAACTACAGATAGGGAAGAAACAGAATTTCAAGTCATGGGCTTTCACAAGTTTTAGTTAGAACAGATTTCCTTCTTAAAGGAAACATCTATCATGTATCTATTATATAATAAAAAGACATCTAAAGACAATCTTATTTGGCTCTATTTTGATCAGAATAATTTAAAACCAAATACTGTTAATCTTTCAATTAAGGACTTGTTAGTAAATTGATCTTTATTTGTTCAGAGATTGAGTTTAAAGAAAGGAAAAATGAATGCTGGATGAATGACAGCAATGCCTGAGAGATCATGATGAGCTGAAAGAAGGCAAGGAAGGAGTGGTGTCTGACAACACTTGAAACATCATCCTGCATCTTTTGCACAGAGTTGCAGAAATAGTTCTCTGCCTCAAAGTAGGATTCTAGACCTGCTCTTCCAGCAACAGTGACTTTGAGGACAGCTGCTGATCTGACTTATCCCCTACATTGATCTTTGCACTGACACATAGGCAGACTGCCACAGAATCAAGACACTGCCTTTTTTAAGGTTAGCTTGTCAACTTCCAAGCAAAACTTACATGGCCTTCCATGCCTTCCTGAGGACTCCAGTCTTTCCAGCTGTTTCTTCCAGCTTTTAGCCGTATCACCTCATCTGGCCACTGCAGCTCTTTCCTTTTTGACACGTTGATCCCTTCCAGTACTTGACTGGGATCCATTAACTATAAGCAGGAATTGAGTTTTGACTGTTAGTTCAGCCAAAATTTAAAAGAAACAGATAAACTGTAACCTTTTGCATAATTCCAGGTAATTGACTTCAACCCACTGAAATTGATTTCTGACCAATTTCAAGGTTGGAAACTTGATGTCCAGGCTCTCCAAGCCCAAACAGCACTGAATTTGGAAATGATGCTGTGGTTTCAGACACAGCTGACAATATGCCAGTTCACTGAATCAACAGGTCTGTTTCCCTTCCCCACTTCTTTCAGTTATACTAGGTCATGGCAGGGTTGGGGAGCTGGCACAACAAAAGCATTGGTAGCACACAGTCTAGTAGCAGGGAAAAGTTAAGTGATGATGAGCTGTTAAAATCGGCTCATTACTTCTTATAGAGTATCTTAAGAAACTTGGGGAATTCACTGTCAGGCAGAAGAAGTATTTATCTACTAGCATGGTTAGTTGAGACCCACCCTGTGTTTTGAAGAAAACTAGCCTTTCCACAGGGCAAGCAGGAGAAAACTCCTGAAAAATTCTTCCTATTTAAGGACAGAGAGAACTTCATAATGTCCACTATCCAAGGGCACATACCCATTTTATCCTCCCCACAGAGGGGATTAGTAAACAGCTTCATAAAAGGGCCCTTGCCTGCAAACAAAAGCTACAGACCTGAAAAATTAATTTAATTTTGCCCACTGTGATGCAATTTACTAAGGATTACTCTCAACTGAGGTGGCATCAGCAATGAAATCATGTTCATTATGATCTAACCTCTTAAATACACTTCCTGAGGTCTCCCACAAGTATAATGCCAAAGAATGTGTGTGGGGCTAATAAAAGCTAAGAAAGCAAGAATACACATTTCTGGATTTTCACAGAGCAAGTAAGGCTACCATGATTAACTTAATAAATAGTGAAATATTTGCTGCTCAGTAAACCCTGAAGTGGATATAACCAAAGAATAAATACATATGAAAGTGAAAGCAAGTATTTTTACACTTACTTTTGTGGAAAATCTACTCGGCTTCAAAGAAAAAAAGCTTTCTATCCTGCAAATGAAGCTGTTTAGCTTTACCTACTATAATGTATAAAAGGTAAACTAAATATGAAGTGGAACTGGGTTCCACTGACATTCTCAGAGCTGCACTACAGCAAAACATAAAAACAGTAAGCAAGGAACATGCAGGAAGGCTGCTTGTCCAGAAAACCTTTCCTTTACATTAATTCTCCAAACACAGCTGCACAGAAACTGTGTATCAGATATTCCAGAATGTGCACTTGCAAGTAGCGATTTCAACAACACACAAAGGAACAACTAATAAAAGCATGTGGAAACATAAGTTAAGTTGTTCTTCTAGACTATTCACCTGGATTCTGTAAATAACGTCATCCTTTTTGGCTTGCATTTGATTTGCAGGGCTTGCACTGCCACCTGACTGAGTTTCAGCTGCATTACTCCCTCCTTCTGTCCCTAGAAAGCCCACAAGGGCATGCTGTTTACAGGCTGGGATGCTTTGGCTGGAGCTGCTAGAAGAGGGCAGTCCATGCTGCACGCTGACCCCAGTCTGGCCAGTAGGTTCCATTTGGTTCACCATAGAGAGGCGGGACTGGATGGATGATGGGAGGTTACGAAGGGATATCTGACTGGTGGAAGAGCGCCGGCAAGGCACAAAGCCCGTGGTGGATGTGCGAAGAGATGAATGACGGCTGCCGTAGCAATAGGATGAATGGCTAGCTACTGAGGCACGGGCAGGGGAATGTCTGACAAGGCTGGACTGCACAGAGTGAGAGCTGTGACTGGTGCCTAAAAGTAAAAGATACAGAATCAGGAAAGTTCGATAAAGCCTCCCCCACACAACAGACTGCCAACACATAAATGTTTTAGTGCACAGATACACAAAAGTGATTGGTCTAACGAACATCATCTGAAACAGATGTAGTCCAGAAATCTCTGCTGCATCTCACATAGCAGAACATTTCAATACATTCCATTTATCTTACCTCAGAATTTCATATTCTGTTCAATTCACAGTCTCTATCAGACAAGTATCTTGAAAAATGCTTCAGTCTTGCACTTTCTGCATTAACAGTTCCTTACTTAATATTATCACTTCAGTTTACCATACTTAAGGCAGTAAGACAGGTACAGATGCCCATGTTTCAAAATACTGACTATTCTTTCTTAATATGCTTGATTACACATTCAAAGTTTGTGTCAGAAAATTTGTTAGAACAAAAGCTCTTTTAAAAAAGTTGAAATTTAATACACTTAAAGTTAAAAACAGAAAATGCAGTTCATGAGCATTGGTGTAATTACTTTTCCCATACTAAATATTTGCAGATACCTCTCCTCAGCTGATAGATCTAATTATGTTCATTTAGTTACATACATCTGTATTTTCTTTGTGAGTAAAGGCAATGTTTGAAAGACTTTTATCTCAGCTTTAGTATTTTTCATCTCCTTAACTACAGATCACTATGGACGCTTGGGTAGATTCAGCTAGAATACTGTGCAAATAAGAACTTGTTTCACTGCACAAAATAGAAATATAAACATTCCCAAAAAATTATGAGTTTAGCATTTGCAAACAATAAAACAGAAATTAAAAGATCCAGTCTGTAGAAGCCTGTTATAAAAAGTTAATCTATTTTGTCAGCACAACTACACCCTTATTTATCAGATCTGTTTGTGAACCTTGTATTGCATAAAACTGTACTGTAGTTTAAGAAGAATCCAACAGCTCTTAACACAAAATCACGTCACATTTGTTTGCTTCTTCTTTTAACTTAGGCCAAAGAGCTGAAAGGCCTGCTCTGGCTATAGAACTGAACTTGTATGAAGTTGTTTCCTTGTTTTAACTTTACCCAGTGTGGAGGGATGAGTTGGTGGATGAGCTGCAGGAAAAGTGGGATGAGCTGCAACAGGAGGGTGCTGTACTGCTCCAGGTCCCTGCCCTGTAGTTGCAGTCCCTCCTCCTTGGGACATGCTGCTCTGTGACTCATTGATAGTTGCATTGTTACTTGTGCAAGAAGCTCCACCTCCAGCATCTGAATCTTCAATATTTCCACCACTATTGCAGCCAGCTCCACAGCCTTTCCTTAGTCTGGAAACATAATGCAAGTGATATATTAAGGCACACCTCCTAATCATTAGGATTCTAAGAAGTGCTTCATGACAAGCTTTACTCAGCACAATCCACAGCACTTTCTAAAACCAGTTAAAACTTGACTTTATTTTCTCAGAATATGCTTTGCAAATATAAATACTGCTTTCTAAGAGATTGCAATTTTCTTCATGACAGCTTCATTCAGTAACAGTTATTTATGACAAGTCAAATGCTCATATAACTTAGCTTTTTTAAAATTATGCCACCTCTGAAGTACAATGAAGTGATAAAATTCCAACTCAAATGCTCATAGAACATCCTAGCTATTTTGGAACAGTTTAGTAAAACTCATGCTACTTAACACAGTAGTCATATGTAACTGTTACGCGGCAAAAGCTTTGTCTACACAGACAAGCAAGGAAAGAATGTTTGCTGTATTTTTAATGTATTTAGTTTCTGTTGTGTTCAGTAATGCACTCACAGTAGTTTGAAGCACATACTGAACATTCAGACAGTAGGTTAGCCGCCATTTTCCAGTACACATAACCATATAGTTTTTTCATCACTTTGTTTACACTAATAAACTTCAAACAGACACAAAAACTACAGCACATTTCCTCCTCCCTTCAATTCCTACTTTTTATTTTTCTTTTCTGTCACACTCAAGTACACTGAGCACTCCTTTCCAATTTTTATTTTTTGTCCCAGGACCAGAATCCTGAAGCATAAACACCTTGGATTCAAATACTCGTTGGGTGTCATGCTTTCACCTGTTATTCTATTAAGTTGGACATGCTGATGGCAATAGGAGACAAACACCACAGACTGCAGTAAATGTGGTATTTTTGGCACTCTGGGTGAAGCAGCATGTTCTGTTCTGATACGCTATAGAAATCTAAGATAAACACAACTATCAGAACAGCTACAGGACTGTTCACACCACGGCACCAACCCCTGGAACTACTAAGAACTGCACATTAAGAAATGTACATTTCTGAATGCCACACAGCTGCCACTGTTGCTTTTGGAGCCACATTAATTGAAGGCCAGAAGTGCAGTAAAAGTTCTCACAGCCTATAAAACACAGCACAGCAAGAGTTTGTACTGGATTACCAAGGAGTCACGTGGAGAAATAACTGTATCATTCCAGTTACTTGTTCTGGCACTAACATACAGCATTATATAACATATAAGCATCTGTGAGATTTTGAACAGCTAAAGCTTGCATAACTACATATGAGCCTGCCCTAAAACATGAATATAGGCACTTTCATGCTAAATATCTGTCAGACAGGAACCCTACCAAACAGTCCTGATTCTGTAAAGATGGCATTATAGACTGCAGAAGCCATCACACTGAAAAACAGTACAGAAATTTCATTGTCTCTCAATATCAGACCTAACATTAGATCTGAAGTTGCAGCTCCTGCATCTAGACTTTGTCCTCTTTCCCCTGAGTTCTCATTTACATAGTTTGTGGTCTATTACTCAGCCTTGGAGATTAAACCCTGTACCAAAGCAGATGTCATATGTTACTGATGTGCCTAAAGTAAAAGTCAAGATTTATTTTGATGTGACTCAATATTATAAATTATGCTGTGCATGACTAATTAATGGAATATGAGAGCATGAACACATACTAATGAGAACCCATTTCCTCAGCTCACCTGTGCCATGTAGATACTATGAAGTTTCTGATGTTTCCTAAGCTGATGGCTCCCCCAAGAATGTCCTTTAGCTGTTCGTGACTATCTGAATAGGAAGTAGTCAAAGGAGAGACATAGATTGGGTATCCAATTGGCTGGTCACAAGAGGAGTTGATCATGTTCCTCAGAGCTTGTTTAGCGTTTTGGATACTTCCTCGTTCTGGATTACGATTACGCAGGAAGACAAGCTCCTGCTGTTGTCCTGCCCACAGGCCACGTACACACTCCTTATTGACCTGCAAAAGCCAAGAAGAGAGGCGGTGTCAGAAAGTGAAGCAACAAGAGCAAGTGGTGACTTGTGTTACACCAAAGCCTTTGTGAGCACTACAGAACTGCCAGCATTCATATGCAGTTCTTTTACAGGCTGAACTTAGGGACTTTTACAGGCTGCAACAGTGAGGATAAACAAATCTAAGAATGAGATGAGAAATAACGTTTTAAGTGAGAAGGAACTGATTTTCTGATACAATACTTGCACTGTATGAGATGAACCAGCCTGATTAATAGCAAACCAGTAAATATTTCAGTTGAGGCAGCAGTTTGGTATAGTTATTAAAATACACCCCAACTTCTGTCACATTGCAAAACGTACACAAAGCTCACCTTAATGACCCTGAAACTGAGATAGCGCTTATTGAGCATAATGATTTTATATTCATTGGTGCCATCATCCATCACGTGACGCAGAGCAAGAAGGGACGGAGAATTGGAAAGAACTGCACTCCGCCAAGCAGGGTCCCCTTCGTGTGCTATAACTAGATTTTCTTCGTGAGTTGTTATAGCTTCATAAAGGACAGAAGGATCATCATATTCATCTGGAGACGTGAAGTGATCCTGTTTCAAATAATGCATGTTCAATAAGGTATGATTAATATTTCAGATGTAACTACATATAAAAATAGAACATTTCACACCTCAAACTTTTGAAATGATCAGTGCATTACACAAAGTTAGCTATCAAAAGTATCAAACATCTACTTTAGAACACTGTTAAAGATGACTTTTTACAACAGATTGGTTCTGTTTGTGGGTGTTTACTTCTTTTTTAACTTAAAACCAAAATTATTAGTAGGACCTGCCTATCACTGATCCAAGTATGTTTCTAGGTGAATTTTACACTAGATTCATATCTATACTGTTGGCAGAAGCTTTTTAGTTTTACCTTCTCATAAGCTTCAAATTATAAAACACACTTAAAGCACTGATTATTCACTGAGACTGTACTATATGAAAATAGTAATAAGAAAAAAACCAATATTCACTATTAAAATGTTCACATTAATACTTGATGACAAACTTTTTAAGCATCAGATACTATCAAGACACATTACTGCCAGTCAGATAAAAACACAAAACCTGCAAATTCAATTCAGTATTGGGTAACATTACTTTCAGGTTAAAAAAGGATTGTGGTTAACAGCTAAATTTCCACACTGACTGAAGCCTATGTACATGCACTACAAGTGAATAAAATCAGCTTTCATAGACTAACAGAATAATGTTCAGAACTTTAATTTTTTCATAGTTAGCGTGATATGTTTTTTTCTCACTTTTCGTTCTCTGACTTCAATCAATCCCATTCTGCACAATAACCCTCTGAGAACACTCAGAGAGCTGTTCAAGTGGTACTTCTGCTGGTTTCAACAATGATTTGGTAATTATTCTGCTTTGCTACATGTACTCCTAACACACACATTCTCCTAAATTCAGAGAGTTTGTGTTACATGAATGAGTTAATTCAATCACTGCCAGTTTTGGGGGACTCCAGACTGCAATGAAGGCAAAAAAAAAAGAAACTTTAATAATAATTATTAAACTGCAACTAGGATTTGTTTACTTATTATGATTTTCAAGCAATATATCTTTCCTGAGTACCAACATTTCTCCTCCCTTATAGAGCGCTTATCACTAAGTACATGTTTTCTTGTACTCACTGAGTTAATACATGTGCTGGACAGGATTTGAGACCCTTCATCTTCACCTGCACTTCACTACAAAGACAAACTCTAATTTCAGCTTATGGAAAAGCAACCTTCTCATTCTCACCTGAAACCTGTGATTACAATACTTCAAAGCAAAAAGAACAAGAAAAGCAACTCCCGCTGGAGGAGAGGACTAGACAGCTTTGAATGCATAACCTTTTAAACCAATTACATATGTGTAGGGAGGGAAAAGAGAGGGAAAATATCAGAGAAGCTGATCATAAGGGAAATCTCTAGTAGGTATGAAATAGGGCTTGACATGTTCTCTGATCTACAGTTAATGTAATTTTCAAGCTCTGAGCATAAACAGCATTCCCTGTTCCTCTGTATCACCTTCCACAAAAGCTGTAATAAATCAAAGGACAAGACATGATACTCCCTCGTTTTCAGTTGTCAATTTCTATCACAGTCCTTTTATTCTCATCCTCTTTTTCCTTTCTCCCAGCCACTAATTTTTAAAAGAACAAATGGACAGAAGTAAAAAACTGGACACATCTTTCTGTGTCATCTCTCACTTGATGTAGCTTCAGTGACATCCGTATTCCAGGGACCACTACTTTCCTCAGTAATTCCATGTCAGCAAAGATCCATTCATCTCTAATTGAAGATATACGGAAGTCACCCTTAAATAGGGCATGCAGACCATACAAGAAGGATTCCAGGTTACTGTTGAGGGGGAAAAATATAAAAACAACCCAAATATTAACAGAAGTACAAACATATCCACAGTTATCACTGAAAATAAACTACTGAGCTGCGCAGAAAGGCACACAATTCCTCTCTATCAAGGTAAGCTACAGGATAAGACAGGGAAAAGATGTGTGTGTAAGAAAATTTGATACATCAGATGTCTACCTGCACTGAACAGGTAATGAACAAACTATACATGCAACAAATTATTTACATGGACTAATGCAGACAAATATAAGGAGTGCCTGATTTCATTCTGAAGACTTTTAAAGGCAAAACTTTTCAGGGTATGTAACACAACAGACCAGTTAAAGAGAGAGGGTATGCAACTTCAGTTGTCCATGCTTTAGTACAAAATAAAAATCTTGTCAAATTTTCATGCTTAAAAGGCACTGTTTTCAATTACTAAGCTAACTTAAAAGTGAAAAACCAAATATGCTCTGATGACTCTTGCAACTCTATATAACAACCTTCAAGATGCAATTGGCTGGTACTTGGAAGAATTACTCAACAGTTGCACTGAAATTGAAGTAGAACAGGTTTTATAGTCAGCATCCAGCTGACCAATAGCTTCCACATCCAATTATGCTTCTTTTTAAAGACATCACTTTGTCATTTCCTGAATGTTATAGCTGTATTTTACACTTGCTTTCTAAAATTGAGGCTGTCAGTCTGCAAGAAAGTTGCCATATGACAACAGAATTGAACTAAAGATTTTTATAAAACACAACTGCTTCCCACAGGGCCAGGTAAACTGTGAAACTTACTACAATGGTCTCATCCAACATCCACCAAGACATATCAGGTTTTCATTTTAAAAAATTTTCCTCTTGTTCCCCTTACTTCCATACAGGACATCTAGCTGGCAGGAAATGAAGCTTTTAGAACTCACTCAGTTCTAAACTGGTTAAAACCAATCCTTACCCGTACCAGAACTCCCATCTTGAATTAGTTCAATAAAACAATATGTTTAGCTGCAAGTTCTCCCCAGTTTGCTTTTCTTTAGGTACATTTCACTGGCTGTTGTAATGAAGACAACTTACACAGCAAATCTGCCCAGTTTAAGGAAAGATGGTGTTAATTATCTATTTCTTCTATGAAAAGATACTCATCTAAAACTAATCTAAGAACTCAGAGGGATTTTGAAGATAGAAAGCTTACAGCAGCAACATTTTATTACCTAGACATATGATGTGAAGCTGTTCCCAATGCTCTCCGCCCCAGAACACACAGTCCATAACACAATGTCACTAGGGGTGAGTCTTTACTTGAATCCAGTGGCTTGTAATAACAAAAGAAAAAATAATAGGTGAACGGATTAAAGAAATGGCTACTGAAAAAGAAGATTCTGCCAGGAGGAGTAAAAAGACCCAAACACAGCATGTTTCAAGTGTGTGTATGTACCTACCACAGCAGTCACTCCTAAAAAAATCAATTCTTGTTCAAAGTCTGAGCAAGGGTTTTACACAAGTACCTAAAAATACTTGTAAAGGTAAACACACATGATTTGCAATAAGACAAATTTTAAGCTAAACAGATGCATGCTACATTCCCTATGGTGTGTATCTTGCAGGCACACTGCTGATTTGCTAAATATCAAATTTAGGGGTTTAGACAAAAGTATTTTCAGTGAATATAGTGGATTATCACTGGTTAGGAATATGTAAGCCTGATTTACCTGACAACTTCCCTGGTCTACGGCTTTAGTCAAGGGGTTAGTTAACAGAGACTAGCCCTCAGTTCAAAGCCAAAGTTCAAAAGTATAGCTAGGGTATATAATGCCCTAGCAAATGGCATCATTCAATTAAGTGATTAAACCTGATTTTCAATACATGTACAAAATATTTCATGTTCATTTCTTGGAGGGAAATAATTTTCTTTGGCTTTTGTTGGTCCTTTGATCACAGGACACTAAGTCTTACCCCTGTTAAAATGGGCTTTACCTGATCTTTTACCTCCAAAGCAAAACTGAACCCTTAAGTCTTGGATCCCTCAAACACAAATTCCAATTTAGTGTCCCTTTAATCTCAATCACTTTCTCCTTATTCTCAAACACTAATTTGATACAATTATTTGTTATAAACAGTAAAATGTCAAGGCATTCATCTACAAACATACTAATGCTCCTATTCAAAAGGTGGAATGATTGTGAAAAGAAGAAAAGGTTGAATAATGTATGACTGTTTTCACAAGCCAACAATTCCAGTGGTCCAAAGGAATGGTGTAACGTGAACACTGAGAAAGGAGTGAGTCTGATAAGCTGGAAACCGTATCTTGGGTTTCAGGGATTTTTGTTTTGATGTTTAAGTTAGGGTTGATTTGTGAATACTGATATCTAAGTACAAAACATCAATTCTGCAGACATACCCTTCTGCATGTAGATAAATGTCTAAGATTCAACTGGTTGATTTGAGCTGGCAAAAAAAATTCATTCATGAATTGGTTAAACAATACACTACTTACAGAATCTATTAAATTTACACCTCAAAAAAAAAAAATCAGCATTAAACCTATCTGTAAGTCAAACCAACAGGAAAAAAAAAGTGACAGCATCCTAGAATAGTGAAGGGCTTTCCTCACATACTTACCTTCTCTCTTCGAGAGCAGCAATATTCTATCCAGTTCAAATATATCATACAGAAGCTCTCGCGTGAGATCCCTGCCAGACGGTGGTCATAATCCTCATCAATATTGGGGTTAAATGTTGGGTCTACATCCACATAATTGCGGTCTGTGCACAGCCGTAGTCCTTCCTGCATTGTCTCGTTAGCTAGCCATTCCTCTAGCTTGGGGGATGTTGTGACATAATAGATGATTCCCTGAAACAGTAGCAGTTAAAAATATGAGTCAACATTGCAATTAAAAAAATCCCGGTCAGCAATGTCAATTGTTTCAACTTATTTGCATTATTTTTGTGAAAATTAATGAAAATTACACACATCATTTTATACAGCTCACAGGTACAACAGATTTGCACAGAAAACACTATACAGGTGGTGTATAGGAGTATTTTTCAAAGACTGTCAGGATTTCTGAGGCCTACACTGAAGGAGTAAGGAAAGGAAAAAAAGGATGGGATAGGATCCTCACTGTAATTTTTGCGGAAAAGAAACATAAAATTTTTTATTTAGTTAACATGGAGGGTTAGATACCAAATTTCTAAAGAACTCTAAATTAAAAAGAAAACAAAACACAAAACAGTTTAAGACACCTGTGCTAGGGAACGCAACTTGTGTGCATGTGTGAGTAAGTATCTTGGAAATATTTTAACCTGAGAATTTTCGGCTCTCAGAAAGAGGGTAGTTTATGAAAGATCTCAATTAGTACAATGATTATCCAAAAGGATCTGAGTCCTACAGTCATCTTAAAACTGGAGGAGAGGACTTGTTTCTTTTTTAAGAACCAAAGATGGGTTTGGACAGCTTACAAAGATCAAAGCAGCTCAGCTTTCTCTAAAGAAACAAACTACCCAACTTTTCATTTACAACAGAGCTACTGTATCTGGGTAACAGTTTTAAAGTTTTGATTCCAAGCTTCAGCTAGGAGGTGTCCTCTCTCTGATCTGGAGTGCAGGGTCATTGTCCTGCTCATGCACCAGAGTACTGAGTCATCATAAGTACAACAAACTCCTTCCTCCTCTTGTACATCTGTAATTATCACCTCATCCTATGATCCTCATGTGAGAGACAGTATGAGCTCAAGACAGTGAGCAGTTCCCAGGTGCAGCCCAGCTGGCCTCCCCCCACAGGCTGCACTGAGCCAAGCCACACCTTCACGTAGTAAGTGGTGAGAATTTTCCGGAGATCAAAGACTTGAAGCATGGAAGCTGCACTGTTGTCAGTGATGCTGTAACCCTCTAGAACATACTTCGTTACAAGCACTTCCCAAGCCAGCCAACGCTGCCCAAAGGCAGCATTAAAGGAAAGCATGTGAGGAAGGTGGCCTGGTTCACAGCAACAAAACCCTTCATCTTCCTCTACACCTTCAGTGATGGCCTCTACTTCTCGTTGCTGACAATAAGTTCCTTAGGAGAAAGCAGAGAAAAGAAGAAAGAGTTGAATGCTTTATACGATTGGTTTAATGTAAACTTGTGTTTGGAAGACTAAAATTCAACCTATTTCCAATTAAATTATTTTAACACTAAGTGAACTATCTGCCAACAAACACCAAAGATTTAGATAGCTTAATTTATCACTCTAGGATCCCATTTTAGTTACGTTTCTCTAACAAGTATCCATGTTGCAACTAAAATGGAAAGAGGGACTTAGCATCAAGTGACAGGAGCACTGAGACTCCCTGAAGCCCATTTTCAAAGCAATTTATTAATACGATAAAACTGAAAATAATTTCAGTTTCCAAAGCAGAAGCCTACTTTTTAGTGCAGGCAGCTAGGGACATCTAAGACACTCACCTCTGAATTCAAGCCCCCTCAGCTGGAAGGTGACCAAGCCATTTCCTATCTCTATAAGGTGTACTAGTGCATTGAGGTAGTCAGAGGCTAGGATGAAGCAGTCTCCAGTACTGTAGTTTCCCCAGCGACCCAACAACAAGTCTCCACATAAGCTGTGCTGAAGGGAACGGGTTAAATGCTCATAGAAGATAGAATTCAGATTGTTATCATCTGAACCTGCAGGAAGATTGGATTTAGGTTATCTGAAACTGCAGAAAAACATCAAACTTGAATGTCAATTTTTACTTCACATTGAATCCTATCTTTTTCTTGACCACAATGCTGTTTCGAGGTCATACTCTAACCCCCCACTTCCCCTTTTTTAGGGGACAACTACTCCAAAGGAATGTCAAGTGACATTTGTATTTTGAACCAAATTTTTTCTTCGTCACTCCTCCATTTTCCACATTATTCCTTTGGCTCCACTCATGCATTTCCCATCAACCTATTCAAGACAATGAAGTGCAAAAGCAAATGAGCACAGACATATCTCAGTGATGTCTGTTGTACCGGTCATCACCATGATATTGAGATACCCTCAAATAATACTCAGCACTGTTTAAATTATTCAAGAATAAAAAGCAAAACACTTTAATGCCTGCTACTTTTATATATAAAAAGTAAAGCAGTAACACAAACCTAAGAGTGAAATCAAAAAACTTATGGGAGAGCCTAAAGAATAAAGCAAGAGATGATGGAAGAAAAACTAACAGTAGACAAAGCAACAGAAATGTTGGGCATGGTTAGACAAGATTAGAGGGCAAACTGATCATGAATCCTATAAAAATTCAACGACAGCCAGTCACATTTGAAAAAAAAAAAAGCCACAATAAAAAAAATCACCCCTGAAAAAAAAAAGAAACCCACCAACCCACATCCCAAATGCCCCCCTCCCGCTCAACAAAAGTAACCCCCAAAAAACTCCAAACCAACTACCAAAATCCAGCTAGGAGAGCTACCTGGATTCCGATCCAGCTGTGAAGCCAGTCTAGTATTTGAATGATCCACACGTTTTGTGCTGAAAATAATAAAGCATAATTAATACAAAATATATTACTGTAAGAGTGTCTAAGGAAAGAAACTACTAATATAGTGTTAAATGTTTTGAGTGAAATAGTTTCAAAAAGTTTTTTTAAAATAATTTTACATGCATATTTGCTGCTCTTCTCATATGTAAAAATATTTTTATGTATGATTAGCATTTTAATGCCTAATAAAGTTTGTCCACAGTAAATAGCCATAGAATAATCTTGCACTTTAGATAAAAGTGCATAAATTTTCTTAGGTATCATAAAGGCTTAGCTGTGAGAAAAAAATTAGACCAGTTAAATTAGCACAGCTAACAATTCAACAGACTTTAGTGAAAGATTAATTTTTAGACAGTTCTTTCATTGTCTGAAATTACAACCATAATGCTTTCATCTAAGATTTGGAACAGTGCATTTAAATTGTTGTAATGTTAGATGGGAAATAAGAAATACCAGAAATATCCATTCAACTTGCCCTATGCTGTTTATACAATATTTTATTGATCTGATACACTACCAGCAATAGGGAGTTTCACAGAAAGAAAACGAGCAAGAAACAAACAAAACAAAAAGAAACTAATCTGGCTTGAAGATTCTACTACTCATCCCACCTTGAACAAAAAATACATACTTGGAAAGATTTTTGTATTAAGTTTAGCCAGTTTTGCTGTGAGCAAAACAGTAACTAACACAGGTAAAATACAGCTATGGAATGTTCCCCAAAATCTTTTTATACATAAACTCTCTTTTTGATTAAAATTGCACTTCACAATACCATAAATTCCATGTTTAGAAACACCAGTGTGGCCATACCTCTAAGTAGAAATTACTTAAGCAGCTGAAGCAAATGATCCTAGTGTAAAAAACAGCTGCTACAGTATTTCAGAAACAAGTTCAGTGAAAACTTTCAGTGCTTTATACTAGTTTTCTGAGGGAAAAAAATAGCAGAAATTTTCAAGTTAAAAAAAACCAAACGAACAAAACCCCCAAACCAACACTTCAGACATATCTATTCTATTAAAAACAATTTTTTTCAACTTGATTATTTCACCTACTTGTAGTCTCTTTCCCAGAATTTGACAGGCCTGGCATATGAAGTGATGAATATTGCACTTCCCAGAAAAGGATTCAGTGGAGTAGAGAAGAAAGCTGACACAGCTGCTTGGACAAACAACATGGCAGAATCTGTAGGATGAGAGAATTAAGGAAAGCAAAGCAACAACTGCTTTTTTTTTTTTTTAGCTTCTGTGATCATGTTCAATACAGACAGCAACACCAACAAAGGGCAAAACAAGATCTCTATGAATTTCTATGCAGCAAAGATGTTTGTAGTACTTCCAGCAATAAGAGGATTCTTTTTGTTTTTAAAAACAAATAGATGGAAATCCAGCACTAAACACAACAGTCATTCCCAAAAATTCTGTTGAAAATACTAACTCAATACTACATTCAAAGCAGCCTACAGAAGTTTAAAATGCAAAACTCAAGGACTAAATTTATTATTAGTGATTCCTGTAAAAGGGAATGACCAGCAAAAGAAAAGCTGTTTGATTTTCAGAATTACTTCTGGTCCATGCTTCTTTTAAGTCAGGATGCTATTTCTACTATTACTATATAATTCATAGCATTGTAACAAGGCAGAAAGTGTGCACAGCTTCTTTGTAAATACTCACTAGACAAACCTGTTCTTTCAGCAGTTTTTAGCCCATAACATAGAATCCACTATAAAGCAGTACTCAGAAGTTATAAATACACCACCTCAGGAGAAAGTTCGCGTTTCCAAAGGATACGTGGCACAGCAAAGGGCTGGGCAAAAGCATGGAAGGCAGACCCCCATGTGATCTGCCAGGGAGCAATGTAGGTATATACAAATCTCAATTTATAAAAGAGTTCCCAAAGCTACAGGGGAAAAAAAGAGAAAAACAATTCAGTATTTTGGCTAACAATCAACATGTTTTGCATCCTGAGGAATTTGCTGGTCATCCTAGAGTTCTTACTGATTTACCAGAACCTTTGAGACTTAGAGAAAGGATGTAATCGTAAAAGCAAGTAACGTAACACACACCTCATTGTTCTATGTACAAACTCAGGAGATGTTGAGAGAGTTACATATGGTTTCTCAAGCCAACAAATGTTTTGGCAAGGAGAAGTCTTAGTTGTCTTATAGCATATCTATTACAGTACAAAAGACTGAGAATATGCAAGACTACATATCAGAGAGGATTACCCATTTTCCCCTTTGGATAAACTGAAACACCTAAAAACAGATTAAAAGTTACCTTGCTGAAGAGTATGGACATGAAGAAGAGATCTAGCAGCATGGTCTCAGTAAAACTTTTGTAATCAAAAGTAAAGAAGAGCACTGTGAAAATAACAGTGACATACTGGCACGTTGGGCTACTGAATGATGAACGCAGTAACTTCAAGCCAGCTATTGTGATCATTAAAGCACCCAACCTGTGTAAGGAAGCCACACAAAAGAGTTATTACCTGTTATCTGAAATGGGTTTAAAGACCACTTAAGTTGTGCTGTCATGCAATACCAATCTCTTCAAACGTTGATTTGGGTTTGCTTCTGGAATCTGGGGCATTGAGCGGGTGTGGAGGGGTGTGTGTTAATGATTTGTTGGTTTTTTAAAGACAACTTCAGGTTTCTTCTTAAAAAGGTTACTATCTAAATCTTTTCATCAGTACTCTCAAGCCAATCAATGTTCAAGAATTAGCATTATTTTTAAGTGTCAAAAAAAAAGAAATAAAAAAAATTAGAAGATGAAATATCCTTGTAGTCTGAAGACAAACCTGGTCTTTAATTCAGGCTATGAATACTAAAATGCGAAAACACTAGATAAATCATCAAGAGGATGTTAATGAACAATGGATTATCATTTCCTGCATGACTACAGTGCTCTAATTTCTGTTGAGGGAACTGCAATTTTTTTAGACATAGCAACTGATATATCACAGGGTTTTTAAAAAATGAAATTAAAGTAACATAATGGCAATATTCCCCTCAAAGGTCTCATAGTGATTGTGATAATGAACCCAAAGCTATAATTTACTAGATGCAGGAACTAAAATTAAGAAAGCCAAAAAGCCAGACACCACCCCACAAAATTAATCTAACAACCTGCCCCCTAAAATATTTTCTGCTTCATTTCAATGCTTGTACTCTCTTTTACTCTACACAAATTGAACTTCAGATCCAAAAAAGACATCTGGTTACTGTTTCTTGGAGGCAAAAAATTCAGGGCCTATTATTGAGCTATCATTTGCTGAGACAGTCAGATACACTGCTCAAGGGATTATAACTAAGACTCAATTTAAGAAGCAGTGTGCAATTCCGTCTGGGTATGGATTATGCTTAGGGGCTAGGAAGCCTAGGGAATTCCTTGACAAGAGAAGAAAGTTACAGAGGGGCAGCACACTGGCACACCAACTCAGGGAACAAGTCTGAAATTTACACCTGATAAAATATCAGAATATATCAAGAGTGTCTTGAACTTGCCATCTGGAAAATCATATTAAGACTTTGTAGCTCAACAAGCAAACTTATCACACTTCAAGGTAATTCTGCAACATGTCATCTTCACAGTATATGGTAGGAGTTGAATGATTTATCTTTGTGGAAGTGTCTAGTTCAACAGTGTAATACTCAAATCAGTTTAAGTCAGCTTTACACAGGCTTTCAAATGAAGAAAAGCTTTATTTATTCATTGTCTTACCCTTAAGACAATACCATTAAGGTGTTCTGTCTTCCCATTGACACCGGAAGTCACTATTTAATTTTCCACCAGAGCAGACATACTCAAGATTACTTAATAGCCTTTTATACTTACTCAGTATCCAGTTTCTTTGGACTAGCAATATTCTTAGCGCTGCTACTAAGCTCATTGAGGACTATCAGTGGATAGATAACATTCTTCTCTACAAAAAGGAGCCAAATGTGAAGTTTCTCAAACCACATAACATGGGCAGCATCTGTCAAGATTTATTAAGAAGAAGAAATCAGATGGCAGTGTCAAATCAAAAATCTCTGGTTACAAAACAAAGATTGTTCATCCAATTAACTTGGATTAACCATTTTTTCACAATGGACTTCTGTAGTTTTATTTAACCAAAATCAAGAGAAGCTCCTGTCAGTAGCCCCAGTAGTTTTTGCTCTGTTCACATAGCAACAGAAGAGTTTGCAAGCTACTTGCTTACTGTACACAGAAGGAAACAAACTGGGTTCCACCTCTTCAATAATTTCAATATTGCTATTGATGAAGCTGTTTAAAATGATGCATTTTCTCACACAAAAGGATGCTTTTCAACCATATTCAATCTGAAGGACTCCTGGTTTACCACTCTACAATACACAAGAGCCTATGTAACCTACCAACACAAATGTCTGTCACTTGAGCAACTTCTTTTCAACTGCTACAAAAATTGTAAGGTGTGCTTCAAATTAACGTAAATTAAGATAAAAAAACTTCTGCAATATAGGCTAGAAGATTTAATGTCAAAGGTTATGGTAAACATCAATGAATATATAAAGGGCACCAACTGTAGTTTTTCTAGTTTTACAGATTAAAGACTTAAGGCATACAGTTGCACTTTTCACTTCTCCCACATAACATCTGACATTGTACTACAATTGCTGTTCATATTTATCCATCTTTACATGCAATCACTGGGAAAAAAAAATCCCACAGGTTAGACATCAATGAAAAGACCACATTGAATGGCTGCTACAAAGGCAGAAAGTCTGCAAATCAGTTCTGATAATCCTCTGCTCCTGAAAGCAGCAGAATGTTTTCTTGTTTTAACAACGATTTGAAAAGAAAAATCAAAATAGATTCAGTTGTTTCCAAGGCAGTTCAGACAGGAATTTCTTAAGCCTGCTTAACAATAAAAACATACCAACAGTGAAGTCCCCACAATCTATCACACCATTTACCCATTCTGGAAAACTGATAAGCAGTATAACTTCATTTTTCTTCATCTCTGGGCAAAGATTCCATGAAAACATAGGCTGCAAGCACAAGCTGCAAGTACATAGCTATACAGATCAAGTTGTAAGACTGGTCCTTTGGTGTCTTCATCCAGCAGTTGACCCCTTGCACTATTTTCTATTGTTAAACATGTCAAGTCAGTACCAGAATGAAGTCTCCATCAGCATTCATCACACCTAATCCTCTAAAACATCTGAAAATTTGCAATGTTGAAGAAGTACATGGTGAAACACACTCGATCACTATGAAAAATTCTTGAGGCAATCATAAGCCCAAACTTTACCATTTAAGATTTTGAAGACTATGTTTTAATGGAACTGCTCTGAGATAATGTTAACACTTGTATTACCATCATCAGTTAAGAGATACATAAAATGTCATGGAATCAAAGCATGAGGAACTGAGAAGCAAATACATTTACAGATCAGATATAATTAAATCCTCCAGTGGTGAGAATAGTAAAGAGATTAAGTATATCAATAGGTAACACAAGTAGGTCAACAACCACAGCAAGCTCAAGAAAGCGTTACAAACAATACTTACTCCGGACTTCAAACTGATGATATTCCTTGGTTTTCAGCAGTGGGTGAGAAAAGCAATGCCAAGGAAGCTGCTTTCGGAGTTGAGGCAGAACATAATGGGTCACAAAGCCTACCGTACCCACCAATGCATAGAGAACATAACTTAAAATAGGCTAGAAAGAAGAATTGAAGAAATTAAGATTTGTGTTTTACAAACAAAATAAAATATTACTTTGTATTTTCCAGCATAAGAGCAGGTGATCCTGCAATACTAATGCATTTCTTCATGAGAAACTGAACTACCAATTTTAAGATAAAACAAGAAACCCTGGGAGGAAAAAACCCCTTCATATCTAACAAATTTTCACTAAGTTGAAATGTACTTTCAAGTAAAAATAGTACACCAATCTTCTTTCACAGTCCATTGCTTCTGACACGTATGCATTTCATTTTATAAAGGTATTATTCTCTAAAGGCTGAACCCAATTTACCATTCCATCTGCTGGATAAAAGGAGGTATAAGCATAAGCAAAAACAAATCATTAATTTCATATTCACTTGGGAAAGTAAGAAGCCTCCCACAAGACCAATCACTTCCACAGAAGTCACAGAATACTGCAAAATTAACATGGGATGATGCTTGGATTTCACTATGCTTTCCACACATTAAAATTTTCTCTAAATTTCTACATAAGTCCAGATAATTGCAAAACTAGGATTGCGTTATCTTGCCATAAGCTCTTTGTGAATTCCGTGAAGCCCGAGCCTATAGAAATATACAGCTGGTGAAGAGCATATAGCCAAATCTCTCAAAGGTGGGAGAAAGCAACATTCAGGTGGAGTGCCAAAATCCAGCCATACAATAATAGACGAGATATTTTCCTCACAAAACACAAGTACACATGATTAAGTAATCTTGTCTTCACCTGAAGACATGAAGTTACCTAAATGCATATGCTTTTTAAAATTAGTTTCTTACTTTAACTTTAGGCAGTAGCAGGAAAGTAAAATCCTTCTAAAATACATGGCAGAAATTTTAATTTGCCTTACATAAGGCTATTCATAAGCTAGCCAATGGCTCCATAAGAATATCAAAATAAGAAACTCAGTAACTGTAGCTCTTGAGGGAACTGCTTTACTTCAATTCAAGCACATGATCTAGTCCCATGCCATTACCATCAAGAGTCACATATAGATATTGAAAGTATCCAATGCAGTAGCACTAGCTAGACTGACAAGTCAAAAACTTGAAATTCAAATGATCTTTGAAGTCCTGTAAAGGGATACTGCCCTATAGTAAGGTCTACAAAGAGCCATGCCAGCATGGAACTGCTGAATCAAGGCTCAGCCCCTCAAACTTTAATGGCTAAACATTTTTAACTTTTTTTTAAAGTTTCATATTTCCTTATTTCAAAATAATCCTGACACTACTTAATTGAGATAGAGAACTCAAAAGAGGGCGTTTTGTGTCAGAGGCTAAAATAGAAGTCTCGAACATAAGAAGAAACTAGGAAAGAGCTAGGGAAGATGATCTTCTGAGCACATAAAAGTGAAGACCCTCAGTCATGTACTTGTCACACTACATGTTTAAAGACCATCAGAAATTAACCAGAAGACTCAGTGAACTACCAGACCACACTTTATATCACACCAGAGTATTTTCACACAGAAAGCAAATTGAAGACATGAAGTAACACCTTACCTGTAAAACTGTAAATACTGTACTGACATGAATTGCAAAATAGAGGACACCAATGACTATACACACAATCAGGTCAGACTGCAATCGTTCACTCTGTGGAGACAAAATAAAATAATTTTAGAAAATACCAGCTTTGGTTGACCTCTTAGAATCATTAAAGTTGGAAAATATCCCCAAGGTAGAGACCAAACTTTTACACATTCTTTTATATAAAAATACAGTAACACTGAAACTGATTAAAGATTTAAATTATGCCAGTGTTAACTACTTCCACTAAAGTTTTTAGAAATTTCACAAGACAAATCTTACAGCTAAAGAGCATCAGTTCAACTAAGTGAAAGGAAAAGACACATACTTATACCAAATAACTCTCTAATCCTTGACTGTGAGGTGGTGTAAGGATCCCTTTAAAGAATCGATGAAGGGACAATCAAATTTCCCCTTTATAATCTAAGAATTTGTTTAAACTGCAAGGCAACTAAGTGCCCTGGAAGAGTACTACCTGGTGAAACAACCAGGCTCTTTGACCCTTTTCTGCCTTCTTTGCAGAAGGATAAAAGACAGCTTTGGAATGACCCCAAGGAACGAGTTCCACTACTCCTAAAAAAATGAAAACAAGCTGTTGATTACAAGCAACTCCCCCGCCCCCAAACTAGTAATGCCAGACTCAGCCACAAGGGGGCAATGCGTACTTAGGGCTGTTGCAACTCTAAGCCTCAAGTTTCGGCTTGTTCCCACTGCAAAAACAGCACCAGTACTTACAGCCCAGAAAATCATTAAAGGATTATCTGCTCCAAAATTGGCCATATAATTACACACGGCAATTAGTGCTGCAAAGCCTTAACTTCGGGGCTATAACTTAGTTTATTTTAAATCAGTTGTCTTTATTTTAAAAACCACTGTAAGAAAGACTATGAAAACCTCCAGCTCCTCTGCCACCTTGGAGACTAACACCACATTTTCAGAGCTAAAGAGGAGTTTGCACCTCCCATGATCACTGCCTCCTGCTAAATGTTAAAATAATTGCAGTTTCTCTGTTCTAAATATTTATTTGCAATTTCTACACACTGCACCTCATCATGCTTTTAACTGCTGTATTATCAAAAACCCAGCTATACAGTTCAGCCTACAGTTGAGCCCTACACAAAACAAAATGAATATTCAACCTTTTGTACAAACTAAACATACTAAAGCTTCTTAAGTTTCTTACTTCTTGCTACATTGTGTGAAAAATAATGTTTAAATATTACTACTGCCATAAATATTTAGATTAATTTGTACTAAAAATTCAAAGTAGCATTTAAGTAAATGTAGCAGGTTACATCTGCTTCCAAAGAAAGCAAAGAACAAAATAACTTAGACCACCCAAGCAAGCCACAAAGACCTCCAAAACACTTTGCATCATTTTTATTTTCCACTTCTGGAACAGCAAGCACAAAGCTCTTCCTCACAGAAACACTGAGTTAATATAGTTTTATTAGTATTTTTAGTTAATATTAGTATTTATAGTTAATATATAGCTAATACAGTTTTGCCACCATTAAGTCTTTCCCACTAACTTCTGCACAAAAGCAAGCATCATCTAAGATCATCCATGAGCTAAAAGAAGATCCTCAGTGATACTTCACTGAATCCACACTAGGGAGCTCCAACTCTCTCTGCTTTTAAATAACTTCAAATTGCAGTAAGAGCATTATATTCCTAAGTGTAGCACATGAGCTCAGCTGCAGATCAAAAGGAAACGCTAAGTGATATCCATTCTAACTAGAATCATGCTAAGTGACAAGTGTGAGCTAAGCAAGACCCAGACATGCTATATAAACCAACAAAACAAATGCTTAAATGGAATTTTAAAAAACATAATAAAAATCCTACTTACCACAGAATTTCTAAGCTTCTCAGGTAAAGGATCTTTTACTTCAGACAGAGGATCCTCAGGGTTTTTGTCTTCAGAATTAGGAAAAAATTTTGATTGCACTAAAGAGCTTAAAAGAAAGACAAAAAAAACCCCACTGAAAAGCATGTATTATTCTATTATTCTATGTGGTTTTATAATAACAAAGTCAGAAAGTCAGTTCTATTACATATTGATCACAAAAAATTAATTTGGCACATCACTGCTTTCACATAGCTGAGCAAACTTACAGAGATCTCAACTTGATATCTCTGTTGTACTATTGTTGTGACTATTAATGGTGACTATTAAAGAGCAGCAGACAGATGTTCAAACTACAGTTTCTCTAGTAGCAACACAGGAGTAATTGAACAAAAACTGAATTTTAAGCGAAATTTAGCCATCATGAAACAAAACTTGAACTCATAAATAACTGAGCGGAAATATGCAAAATTTAGAAGTTCTCTGATTGTCAATGCCATTTAAAAAAACATTAATTCTTTGGTTTCATTCAACAGAAACAACTAAAGAAATCTATTGTAACATGATTAATTAACAAATTAGCCATGCTGACCCAACTTCTAAATTCTTAGCCGCTCTTGCTGATAGTAAAGCCCCAAAACCTTACACTTAAGCTTTTAGAACTCCATGTGCAATGTTACTAGTCATAACCAGTTGCCTGGCAACCTCTCAGTGTATTTTTTTTTTTACAACAGCCGATACAGTGCAGAAATAT